ATGAATCTCCGAGGCTCAACGTTTTGGACTTTTAAAATAACGAAAACTGTAAGAAATAAATCATTTAAATATTATGATTATCTCTGTTATGAAATTCACGTGCGTCAATAGAACAGTTGATTGTTATCGATTCAATGAATTAAAAAACATATTATTTTACAAACAGGAAAACAAAGACGATGTATGTTGGTCCATTATTATCAAATTTTATTTTTAATAATTGAAACTTAAGTGCGATTTTAATTTGATTAAGTACTTGAAACAGAATAGGTACATTTCTGATAAATGTAAAAATATAAAAACCTGAACGAATAGTTTCTATAAAAAAGAATGTAAAGTTAATAAGAAATAGAACAGTAGAATAGTGAACACCTCTAATTGAATCATGTTATACACTTCTTGTTTATTTGATAGATATTTCTATATTTAATTTTTATTCAAACATATTTAAAAAAAGTATATGTTACTTCAGATTATAAAATTAACTAATATAGATCGACGTTTAAGATTAAAAAATTAATTGACTTTCTCAGGATTCTTCATTTTGGGGAGAGGGACGGATTTAGCACTCAAAAAAGAGCCCCCCCCCCTGTGAGAATACCTATGTAAGAATTATAGTTTTTTCATCAACCATTATAAATGTGATAAAAATATGGTTAAATATACTTACAATATAAGTAAAATTATATTATACTTAATAAACTTTAAAATAAAAATATTAAAGATTTCAAAAGTGTCAAATGCCTTATGGCTTATACAAATCAAAAAATATCTTAAAATCAGTCTAAATATTTTGAAATAGGTATAGTATTTATAATAGGTATTTTTATTAGGTATAGTAGTATAGAAAATTACAGTTTAAGTAAGATTGAAATGCTTCAAGTTTCTACGGTTAATACTTTTCAATTGGGCACAACTAAAATTTAAACTACAGACATTCTTTAAAAATCACAACTTTTTATTATAATACTTGTAAACAGCAACACTTGTGGAACCTTTTGTGATATTTTAAATTCTAAAGAAAAATTCAAACAGAAAGCGGGCTGACCATGTGGTTTCTGTAAAATAATACAACCACGTACCTGTACACCACGACAGCCCGCCTGTTTCGCAGCATCTTTAGGTATGGATATTAAAAAATGTAACTAAAAATAATGTACTAATTGTCCTAATTTTAACTACATTTGTCAAAATTCGAATTTTAAACGCTTGTATTGAATTTTCAAGCTTTTTGTCCGAGCAAAAATCATTTTACCGGCATTTAAATTAACAGACAATTTCAAATGACTCAAATAGTTGAAACATTCTGGAAATTATTTAGTGTATATAACATGATAATATAAACATTTGGTGAAAATTTAAATTTTCAAGTATCAACGGTTTTTCGTTTTTGAAATAATTACTGCAACAGAATAAGAAAATAAATGTTGTCGAAAATGATGTTTCACCACCAAAACATCTCACACCCCCTCAATCTGTATAGATGCCCGAATGAAGCGCGAATTTAGGTAGTCCTATTGCGTATTTGCTTAATAATTATAAGTATCCCGATTGTGTTCAAACACACATATTGGTTCACAAAATAACGTATCAAAGTATAAATAAAATTTTTAAAATAAAATAAAAATTCATAAAAATATAATGTTATTTGATTATTTTATACACCATTGAACAAATATTAATCAGTGTATTAGTCAGTCGTAGAAAATCATTTATAATACAGTCAACTCATATACTAGTATGCTTTGAGAAATTTAAAAGTGTAGTTTTGGAACAAATTAATAATACATAAAATTAAAAATGGCTAATCGTTCAAATGTTCAGCACATTATTTTAAAACTTTTACGAATTTAAATATTTACTTGGATGTAAAATTTAAAATAATGAATTGATTTCGCATGAAAAATTTATATTGTTAGAATATTTTCTCTGAATATTATTAACTCGTGCGAATGAGTTGAATAATATTTATGTAAAAATAAAAGAGATTGGGATATTTTTTATTTAGTTTTGATAACCCCTGATGACATAGTATTTCCTACCTATTTGTACAGGCCGAAATCGGGATTTAAAAAGGAAAAACGTTTACTTTGAACCTTTCATCTCCCCCTGACTCAGTCGCCGAACAATAGTGTGCTTCAAATATTATGACAGACCTAATGATTGTGCACTAAATGTAGTGATAATTTTGAAAATGTTCACTGATGGCAAATATCATTTCTGCTTATACCGTTATGGCGTTATTAGGTTTTGTCAAACAAAATGTATAAACCCCTACTGATTTGCTCTCTGATGGTGGACTATTACACTTTTTCCTTTGTAGTTTGTCACAATCATAACTATCAGGATATAACTTTGACTGCAACTGACACTATTTACCACAACATATTTTTTATTCAAATTTCGTATACGTACATAATTAAAACTTTAAATCAGGGACTGGAACCGAACCTTAAAGAACCGGTCCTGGAACCTTTAAAATATTAAGAACCATGACCAGAACCGAAACCTTTATTTTAATAAATAAAATACCGGAACCTAACCGGAATTTTCAAATTAAATAAGTTCTTTTAGGTTCAAAAAGAAAATATTTTTATTTATCATAATTTAATGGTTTTGTGTAAAAACGATGTATCATGATCATATGAGTTTTCTAATATCTCTCATACTATTAATTAAACCAGCATTCCGGATAGGTATTTAAAATTATTATACTTTTCGGTACCTACCTAAATTATCTGGAACCGATATCGAAATTATTTGGTACCGATTCCTTTATTTTTTTTTTAACAATAAAAAACCAGAATCGAACAGGAACAGTTATTTCATTTTTGAAGAACCAGATTGATCGATAATGAAACAAATTAGTTTTAAATCATACCCATTAATTAATATGGTCATGAACAATATTTCAGGAACAGGTCAGGTAGGTCAAACGACACAAAAATATGAATAAAATAATTTAACCAATTTACTGAATTTTACGGTAATTTTATCAGAACATTTTTCAAAAAATGTTCACTATTAAATTCCACATATTTTATTGCCTAAGGAAGACACATTTTTAATGTCTTCACAATTTTTTATCCGTTTCTATGGTGATAAGCAAAGCGTTAGAAATTAAAATCCCGTTTTTACCAGTTTTCCTTGATTTGTCAGGGGTTTTTCCAGTGGCATTAAATAACTATGGAGAAAATCGAAAAATTACTTCTTTAAAGTACCATTTGGATCCAATTTGCTAAGAGATAAAATATTATGTGTTGAAATCAAAGCACTCCTTCTGATAGACATTTTGTATTCGGGATAAAAAAAAAGAGAAAACACCATTGTAACACCACTATAGCTTCCTTGCTGCGCTCAAAATCTAAAAGAAATTATGAAGTATATAATAATACTATATTAATTTAATTATTAATTATATATAATCAGTTAATGTTTTCATGTTTTATTAATTGTTTTAAAAATGTCATACTTTAATATGGGGGGGGGGATAAAATAGTCATAATTAATTTGAGGTAGAATGGAAAATTATCTAGGTACCTGGTAGGTACATATTGAAAGTGAAACAAAAATATATTCACAATGAATTATAGTTATTATCATCGTGAATCGAGAAAAATCTTAAACTTTGAAACATCTATGACTAAAAAAAATCTATAATGAAGAGCCAAGATATTTTAAAAAATACATCATGTCTAGGAAACGCAAATAATATAAATGTTTAAAGTGTTTTAACAAATTCTCTTCAATTTATGAATTAAAAAAAAAAAAATCATAATTTTATCAAAAACTACGCTTAAACTATTATTTTTTGTTAATTTTTTCCAGTTAAAAAAAATAGTACTAGGAATTTGAAGAATTTTTTCTGCTCCAAAAATACACGTGTGTGTTGGATACATAAAATAAATAAATAAAAAGCATCATTGTTGAACCAGTATATTTAATAACTTCATTCAAAATCTTAAATTATATAATGAACTGAGTGCTGTGTCTTTTTGCTTATATTTATCGTCCTATATCAGTCATCGGATGATCAAAATATTGATATGATATTAACTTAGGTCAGTCAATTTTAGAACTTGACACATTTGTGGCAAATAACATCATAAAATTGCTTTTTAAAGTCAAATAATTCTATTTCATATTATTTATTGGCCTGAATATCCAGTGGTACGTGTAAATCATGTTAGAGCTAAGAGTATTATAGAGATTGATTTGTACACACTTCACCAGTTCAATTAAAATATGTGTTTTAATACGTGACGTTGTTATAGTGATTTTAGTAGGAAAATTCCTGGGAAATTCTTTCAAATTTCTACCAAATAGGGAAACACATCCAAAAGAAATAACAACGTCCGTTTAATAATTGTTTTTGTTTACATGTATTTAGTTTTATTAAGTTTATAAAGATTAATTAAGAATGAAGTCAAACGAAATAGACATTTACTTCTAAAGTAAAATAATATTTTTTAATTTTTAAATATTAATAGAATTTAGGTCGCAATAAATATGAAAAATTAAATTTTTAATTTGCATTTACATAGTGTTATTATCAGATATCATTATTAACTATTTAATTAAATAATAAAATGCAACACCACTAGATGCCGAGTATAATTTACTTTTAAAGCTCGCTCAATTAAAAAACAATTAAAGCATTAAACTCGATATTACAATTTATAAGTAATTGGGAAGGATAATATTAAAGGTTTTTTCCATTTCATAAAATCTGATTGAATAATTATCCTAAAATATCCGATGCGTCATTACTACACGGTTCGTGTGTTCTCCAATGTATGTCGTATTTAAACATGTACTCATACAATTTACTAAATCGGTGGACAGATGTCAACGCGTGTTTATACAATCCATAAAATATTTCAGCAAGGCATAATAATATGTTTTCATAGTTGGTAAATCGCTATGAGCTTTTGTTGCAGCACATTGTACAAAACTATACTGCACTCTTAGGTCCGAAGAAAAAAATTACATTCTCAAATATGACTTTATTTATTAGCATTATTTTTATACTGAGTTCTTACGTGTTAATTTTTAATATACCCACGTCACATGAATACAATAATCAAGTAAGTATCGAAAAAGACTTAAGAGTATAATATAAGAGCTAAATGATTCCCTCTCTCTGACACACGCTCAACACACCAATTTTAGTTCGGTATAACGAATATTTCTTACACTGTGTGTCTGTGTTGATAGCTTATCTTTATATGTTACAGTGAATCAACATATTATTGTCCAAGATAAATTTAATATTTAATAATATTTAATTTTTGTTAGTTGAATTTTATACGATGATTTGTAAAATATTTGAATTTAAAAATTTTCATAATATATCGTGGTAAATACCAAAAAAAGTAACGTAATAACACAAACAATATCATTAACTTTAAGTTCGATAGGTAATGGGTAAATTCACTCTAATGTTAAATCTAATAACACAAGATTGGTTCTGCTGAACGGAAATTTTTGCAATGTTACGTGTGGGTCAGAGAGATTAAACAATTAATAGTGCACTATCATTACCTTATTAACAATTATACACTTATTGTGTTGATTTGGTCAATAATAAATTACGTGTATACGCAATATAATTAATTTAACAAAAAACACTCTCTCTCTTTAAAAGTATAAACATTTATTTAGATAATTTGAAGTCACCACAAATATACTATATTTTTTTCGTTATGGATGTTTATTTTTTTAAGTTAAAGAATACATCTTTAATTACATAATATAAGGGACTGTTTTTTTGACAATTTTAATAAAAAAAAATAAAATTTAGTAAATAAAAAAAAAGTTATAGGTAAGTATTAAAAATGTAGATTCAATACTTCCTTCATAGTAATTTTAAATAATTTTAACTAAAAGTTCAAATTCAATTGTCTACTATTAAATGAGATGTTCCCGAATTTTGGAACATAAACATTTTATCATACTTCGATTTATTAATTATGTTTCTTTAAAATTTCTTTAAATTTGATTAGTCTTAAAATAACAATATTCAGCAGTCAATACCTATATTAGTGAGTACCCATTACGTTATCGTATCAAATAAATATATACCTGTACATAATATATAATATATAAATATATATGAAGTGTGTGACTTTATCACAAATTTCCGATGCAATATATAACATAAAATGAATAACCTTGTGCAACAATATATATTATTCGATAACCTATGTACACAGAAAATAACAATCATTTATTATAAACGCTTATCGAAAAAAACTAAAAATATAATAATAATATATTTTCATTTAATATTATGAACCTCAAAGAAAACTCTGAACGAAAACTTTATAAATAACTTTTACTTTTAGTAAAATGAATTTTATTCCTTCTCGCAACACTTCTAGTATAGTTCTAGATACATACAGATAATATGTGTTCGTTTTCGTAAAAGTAAACGAAATACAACTCGGAGAATTGTAACGAAAGTTTTTTATTTTAAGTAATCGGTTCGAAGTTTGCTTGTGTGTGCAGTCGGACAGTGCAGTGTTTGAACTTAATCCCGAGTGTACTATATTTTCTCATTTATACGAAGAAAAGTCCAAGCATTTGGCCGAAACGAGTATAATATATATAATATAGGTACCTATAAGTTCTGAATTCTAAAGATGAGAAATTATTATGAAAAAATTCAACGATTTCGATAGGTACCTGATCTATTCTGGTTTTGTTGTGAATATAATAAGTATACGGACCTCAAATATTATCAAATAATATTCTATTATTTTGTATCACCACAATATTCAGTTATAATTATTAATAATTGTAACACCAAAGTTTCGTGATTTTTCGTTTTAAATATTTTATAGAGTTAAATAATATAATATGTCATATAAATTTCATTTTACTAAAAAAGGTAAAATATAAAATAAAGTCAAATAGTACAATTAATTTTATGACAATAATAGTTGTATTATATACATCGTGTTATAGGCTTAAACTTTAAAATTCATAGTGATTAAAAATTGAACGTGGATGAAAAGTTAAAACTATTTTTAATTTAATTTAATTTGATATTATATAAAATATTATGTAATAATAACTGTAATGTATTAATATTTTATATTATGAAATTTTCTTAAATCTCTGCACCACTCTATCCCATAGGATTGCCTGGAATATCATCAGAGCAAGAACGGATATTATTATTGGATTTAAATGGTTCAAAAGTCTGGAGTGAAAAGTAACATTTAAAAACAATGACTTAATAGATAAGTTGCATTTCTAACTGTAGCGCCGGGTAGGCAAGGTTCACTCGGCCCACCGAGTTTTAGGATTTCTAAAGTTTGACTACATCTACAGCTACTATACGGTTTAATAGTTTGATTAGGTATATTATTTTCAACTTTTTTGAACATGGTTAGTTACATATTATACCAGGTACTAACTACAAGCCTTCTACTGGTTGTAAAATTCTTCTGTCACCGGGTATTTTGTAACTTGTCAGATTTTATCTTACACGGTTGAGCCAATAAATTAAATTTATTAAATTATTACAATTATTAGAAAATTGTACAAACAAACATTTTTTACTGTATATTGCCGCCGATGTTGGTAATAATACTCTCATATTGGTTTAAACAAGGGACTGGAACCTTTAAAATATTAAGAACCGGAACCTTTATTTTAATAAATAAAGTACCGCAACCAACAGGAATTTTTTTAATTAAATATGTTCTATTAGGTTCAAAAAGAAAATATTTTTATATACCATAATTTAATGGTTTTGTGTATAAACTATGTATCATGATCATACGAGTTTTCTAATATTTTTCAAACTATTAATTAAGCCCGCATTCCGGATTGGTATTTAAAATAATTATACTTTTCGGTAAGTAAATTATCTGGAACCTTTTTTTTTTTATCAATTATAAACCTGAACCGAACCAGAACATTTATTTTATTTTTGGAGAACCCGTATAGGAACCAATACCGATATATTCAAAAGGTTCCAGTCCCTGGTTTAAACGATCACGAATAACATGTAAATACATAACTTTTACCTGTCTATTGCCTACTGTTTCAATATTGGGCTTAAAAAATAATACTGATCATTTGAATTAAGTATAAGTTTAATTTAATACACTACAAAAGTTTTATCATATTTTTGTACACACTTTTTGCAATATGGAATATACATAATTACAATAGACAATTTGGACCGTCAACCATTCTGTATGGATATGAAAACAAAACAAATACATGTGGTTTCACAGAGTGTATTGTCCAAACATAATATAATAATATTGGCAACATATTTACAAAACGCATAAAACAAACATAAATAAACCCGATAAATATAGTGTGAAATAGAGCTGATTGACGTGTTTTCTTTCTTTTAATTACTACCATAGTAGGCGACCGGTGAGGAGGTTTCTGTTTGACGTATAAATAGGTGATGTTACATTGTTGTCTAATAAAGTAATAAACTCTGAAAACTATTACACGGTCACATGGAACACGACCGTGGTAGAGTGGTCACGATTTAGTAACCGATTGATTTCTTCACAGCCAAGTCGGCGATCGACAAGACAATTACCTAAGATAATAAAATCGTCCAATATGGCATAGGGTCCAATCTACATTAACATAAAACAAATTCAATTTGCATCGCACAATGGCCCCTAAAAAGGACAGTTCCGTCCATCCGATCCGGCCCTGTTAGACGATTTTGATATTGACGCATTTTTAATTGATCGTTATCTCCGGAGAGTGACATTTACTCGTCCTGAACTATTTTTTCTAAGCAATTTAATTTATTTTTCGACTGCACAGGAGACCGGAGGGCTTGCCTCTTATGTTAGCGTCTTTTTAACTACATTCTATAAGTATACGATTAAATAATTGTTTAATCTTTCCGACCGAAATCATAATAAAATATTATCCAGAATACTCACAAACACCCAAATGCGAGGTTCATAATATCATCATACAATCGGCCCCGAGACGGTAATTTTTTCTCCGTAAATGATTTATTATTCATGCGTGATATTAGATCTTTCCGGTTTTGCGATAAATCGTCGAAGCGCGGAATAACTCCGCCACATCCAGAAGCAAATAAATTCGCAGCTCCATGCCGAAATGGAAAAGTATATCTAAGTCAGCGCTACTAAAATATTCATAAACTCGAATTACATCAAATCTGACCCTTGACATTTCTCTAATACACATATTATGTGTTATGTAGTATAAGTTAATTTTCATTAATATCATCTAATACTATAACAAATGCCTAATTTTTTTTTAAATTTTAAATATTAAAAATGTATTATCTATATTTATCTACATTGTAATATTTTCTCTGTTTTCAGGGATACCATCTATCGACAATGAGTAATGTACTTACACCTTCTGAACGTTTCATGTATACATTTTTTGGTACTTTGCCGAGTAGGATTTACTACTCATATGAGAAACGTTGTTACGTGGTAAGAGGACAACCAGGCTATTACAAAAACGATCTACGGAGAAAAAAAGGAAAACGATATAAAGTCGTTCCTAGGTGGCAGTATTATTTGAGTAAATTGTCACCAATAAGTCTAGTAAAATCTGGATTTGAATTTCTTTCGATCGGAAAAGCTCTGCTGCTTGGAGGAGGTTTCGGTGATGGTGACGAAGAGGAAGATCCAGAAAGTGGTGGTGCAGATCCTGATGAAGATGGTGATGCAGATGGTGATGCAGATGATGGTAATGATAATGATAAAGAGCCAGGATTATTATCAAAAGGTATGAATATGGGAAAGGATATGTTTTCACCACTGTTAAATTTTTTTGGAGGCTCTAAGGATACAAATAATGACAATAATAATGAAAATAAAGATGACAGTAATGACAAAAAAGATGAAAATAATGACAAAAAAAATGAAAAGAAAGATGACAATAGTGACAAAAATGATGAAAAGAAAGATGATAAGAAAGACGATAAGGAAGGTGACAAACCGGAAGAGTCCACAGACTATACGGGAATGGTTAAAGACGTATTGACAAGTGACACTACCAAAGATGCTGTAAAAACTGGAGTCAGCCTTTTTGTACCTGGAGGACCAGCGATTGTAAAAGCATTCGAGACTGCTGAAAAACTTCAATCTGCTGGTGACAAAATCGATAACGTGGAAGATAAAATACCTAAATTGAAATAATAATCTATCTAGCCATTAAGTTTAATTCAAATACAATTTTTTTAAATCATGCGAGAAGATGTTGTTGTTGATTAATAATTAACTAACTTGAATATTATGTTAGGATGTGTTAATAAGCTAAGTTTATCATTAGTTATTACACTATACAGTTATTAATATTAATGTAAATGATATAATAATTTAAAAAATAAAAATTAAATTTTGTGTTGACAAACAAATATTTGACTTACTATATTGATAAATCAACAATATTATATATTATTATTCACGAATACTTTGAAATCTTTGTGTTTACGATATTCAAGGTTCAGAAATTATAATAATAATATGATTATATTTTCAAATAAAAAAGTAAGTATAGGTAAATTGTTCAAAACACTAATTAACATTATTTACCAGTATACTACAATATACCACATTGAATATAAAATATTGATACGACTGAGAAGAAGTGTTACGCATACTACATTGAATATTCTAAATATAAACATTAGGTAGGTAGGTACATTTATATGATATTAGGTACCTATATGAAAATTGTCTCGTGGTGTTAAATGAGTATTTGATGATACCGCTATCAGAGAGGTCAGAGTTAGATCAACTCATTCATTCGTTGACCAATTATTAAAAATGAAACTCGTTAATTACTAACACTAGATAGTTATGAATTAGTAATATTTAAAATAAAAGTGATATATAAAAAACATGAATTTATGAACATTGTAAATTTAAAAAAAAACCGATAATCGCCTCTAAAGTACCTACCTCACAACGTGATAATTTGTATTAGACTTTTATTACTATTTACTAAACAATTCAAAAATTCTGTAATATATGAATTATATTTAACTCGTTTTATTTACCCACTATATCGCTCAAAAAATGATTACTTAAGCTTACTCAATATAATATTGTCCACGGGGTTTAATTTTAATTTCAATCTTAAATTCTGTGCAGAGTGAGAAATTTATTAGTTTTACATTACTGTGAAGGAATGGTTTTATTATATTATAATTTTTTTTTAATCCGTCATCACCATTTGAAGCAAAAAAGTTTCTTTAATGTTCTGCGTTGAGGGTGATTTCTGGTAAAAACTTTGGGAAGTCAAAAACAGAATAATCTTTAAATAAAATAATCATCATAATAAATGAAAAAACAGCAGTTAAACTGAAATAATTACCCAATGCCAATTGAAAAGTATATGAGTAAAATTAAAGGGCAGTTTTAAGTGCGTATCACATTTGATACACAAGACAGTCAATTTGTTAAAGTCACCACATATAATGGAGATGGCAAACGGTCTCTAGTTTTATTTCCATTACATAAATATAATAATAATAATAATATTATATATATTATTATATTATATAACTATCACGTGTTATGACAATATTTATTAAAATATATAGGACCCCTGGACATAATATGATGTGGGAATTTTTTAAAGAATCTTAGCTCATTACATAATCTAAAACTTTTAATGCTTATTACGACACACGATTTGGCTAACACTGATGTCGGATTTAGGTGATCGGTAAATTTGGTTCAGACATAGTTATAATATACCTTGTCATAGAGATGTGCAAAACGGGTCAATTAAACGATCCGGTTCATTCGGATCGGGTCTTCCAAAAGACCCGTTCGTGTGATTCGTTCAATATTATTCGTTCGTTTTTTCAGCAGTGGCAAGTCTAGGGTGGGGGTGCATAGGAACCAACATGACCCGTTCGTGTGATTCGTTCAATATACTGTATTGTTCAATGTACTCTAAATATAATGCATATTATTACTTTTCTATGATAATGCATAACTAAACTAATAATGTGTAATATTTATTCTTTATTATCACGATCGATTCGATTGTTATCACATTCAAGACGTACAGTGTAGGTATTCAGATGTAAAAAAACGAACGATATTTGGCGACCCGAATCAAGTCATTCGGCGATCCGGATCGGTCTCGTTCACTACTTTGACCCGTTCAATGTGATCCGTTCGTTCGCGAACAACACATCTCTACCTTGTCATAGAGGTAAGTGCGAGCCAGATATATTGTCAAACCAGTAAACTGCATTAGAGACGCGTATTGTGTATAGGTATGTCATATTAAATCATAATTATTTTACCAAACACCCATGACATTGATGTACCCACTGACAATCGAACTAACAATTCCACTACCAATTTCACTGTATCATATTATATGACACTCAAAGACAAAATTTACAAGTAGTATAAGTAAAATATTGAGGCAGTAATCGAAAATTTAACTTGCGTATCATATTTGATTCACAAGGCAGTCGACTTGTTAAAGTCACAGAGTATACAATGTGGATGGGTGACGGTTTTTAGTTGGATTTCCATTACATCAGTATAATAATAATAATATTTATTATTAGGTATATTACCAACACTAATTAGTATTAGGATAATATTGAATAAAATATGTACAACAATGTGGTATCGTAAATTGATTTTTATTTTCGTTTAAAATAATATAACAGCTGGTTTAGATTTTTTACAACCGCAGAGTTATTGATAATATATTCACTATAAATTAATATCGACATGTTTCAATTCGAGTTTATTGTACTTAGCATATTATAATTGAATACAAAAATACTACTTTTATAACAATTTCCAATCATCGAACTGTTTGATTCTAAAACTATTTATATGAATATAAAATACAACTTAAAAGCTAAGGTTCTATAAAACAACTATAGGTAACATATGTGTTCTTAAAAGAGATAGTATTCAAAAAAAAAAAAATAAAATAGGTATAAAATGGAAAAAAATAATAAAAAGACATAAAGCCATTAAGAAACAATTTCATATCTGAAATGTAATTTATTATATATAAATATATTGACGACTAACCGTTACATTTGTATTTAAATGCACAACTAAAAGCCCGTGTAATAATCAAATCATAAACATATTTATTTATCCATCATCGAATAAATATATATATTTATGTATATATTATTATTATATATTATAATGGCTCTTGTTTATTAAATAAATAAATATTAGGTACATATTATGACAACATCAAGGTGAAAACTTAGTTTGTGGTTTGCAAAAAAACGCTCAAATGAATTAAAACCGTGCCATTTTTAAAACACCTTGCCCTCAATAGTGACACCATTATTAAAACTTAATATGATAATAATATTATATCTAGGCCCATATAATGTTTACTACCTTTGAAAAGTTTTTCTTTTTTGATTATGATTATTATTATTCTATGAGTTCCAATAAATATGTAGAATATCGTATTCAGTTTACTGCCCGAGTGACCGCAAACATTTTCATGAGCCGTTTCCGATTGTTTCCGTAGTTATTACTTTTTCAATCCATAGGTGTTCCAGTCTGTAAACATGTGCACGTGTAAGTATAAAAGAAAGTATAATAATAATAATAAATAGCTGATGAAGCTTTTCGTGATTTACACGGTGTATCGTTTGTCGAGAGTGTAGCTGGGTCAGTGGATCAAACATACAACTTTATCTGGCACCCAGACAAATTTGTTTTTAATTTGATGGAGTGAATTAAAATAATATTATGAGGTTTTCATTAGTACCTAATTGAAATTTATTTTTTTTGATTTTGCCTATACTTTCTTCCGTTCATCGGATCAAAATTGGCAGGTACATTGCGTTTTCTCCCCCCAGAAAACTTTCGAGCTCTTAAAGTACCCTCCCCTCCCCCGGAAAAAATAAAAATGATTCTAATTGGTAATCCCTGGACACTAGTGGAGTGAATAATTAATACGAATCGGCACAAACCTGCGATGTAGCTCTGGAGGTCCTGCATCACAGGGTACCAATCGGCGCTCGAGTAGTTCAACTTGGGTTTCTTGCCACCATAGTCTTCGGGGAGCATGTTAGAGTCCAAATGCTTGTGCAGAGACGACATCTTGTTGCCGTGGAAAAACAGCTAAAAACCGCGAGGGAAAATAAAAGATTAGATTTAGCAACACAACCATCGGATATCATCCAATAGCGATAATATCACGCACATATTATACACACAATAAATTGCCAAAACTGTGAGCTTGGGTGTGTTAAAATATTATAAATAATGACGTGAAAACCAAATATTGTAATACGTACGCGTTTCTTGAGCTTGTCTCCAACAAATTGTTTGAACATCGGCCACACCATGTTGAACAAGAACGGCTGACGAACAATGTGCACTTCCTTCATTCGGAGTGGCATGGATTCCTATAAGTTCATACGAAAATGCAAAAAAAAGTTAAGTACACAGTCATTAATGCGATTATTGAATAACAATTATTATTATATTATGTAAACAACGATTGTAGTTTTAAGTGCCTATTTTCAGTACTGCATTTTTAGTACAAAAAGTCCTATAAAAATGTTTTGAGTTTTGGGTACTTTAGCGTTGCGAGTTACGAGTACAAATAAATAAAATTATCCATTTTATTCGCTTTTGTTTATCTATATAATGTGATTGTAAAACATAATGATTTAATCAGGTCTATTAGATTTAAAGTTCATCATTATTATTATTATTATTATTATTTATTTATTTCAAACGCTAGTTGAAGTAAACATAGTAATAATATTATAATGTTGTGTCCGTTATTTATTATAAATTAATTAAACTAATAAATATTATCGCCAAAAATCTGATATTAAATCGAATGATGTATGATTGTAGATTGACGTTAAAACCCTACCGTTTTATTGAACTTTCGACCATAACGCATTTCTATATTACCCATATATTATGCTACCAGCGCATGCACGTTAAGGATATACCAGCTTTAACCTATACGTAACCACGTCATTGTTTTCACATTAGATCACATTATTATTGTTATTATAACAATTTCGTAATAAATAATAATAATAATAATAATAATAATGATTACAAATGGCGTCTGCGTTTAAAACGGTAATTTATTGTTGTGAGAAATCGAGTAATTTAAGAAAAGCAAATCTCTGGTGTCTATCTCTTATAGGTGCTCCGAGGGCTGAAAATGTTTTTGATGTTTCACTTAACACGGTAGCTAATAATTATAGTTTCACCCTACGAATAGACAGTTTACATATACGAAGCACTAATTATATTATATTACTCATATACCGATAAGTAAAACCTGTAATAATATGTCAGGGGCAAAACATTATTATCGAGTCCAAACACCGTTGAGAGTACGCATCGCTTGAGTTCGACTATTTAGTTACTGTTACAAATATTATTTAGACATTTTTTTGTTCTGCGGACGAGACGTAGTAGACTTTGAAATTGGCGGGGATAGAACGATAGATTTCGAAGTACCTACACCTCTGTGCGCTCAGATCTGCGACATGGTTTGCTTTCCGTGAAATAAATATAACTTATTTTTTTCGAATGCGCTTACTTGGATGTAAAGAAGCAATGTCATTGCGAATGATGGTGACATGGCCATGACCTGTTTGGTGGATAGCCCATGGAAGTCGATGATGATGACCACGCCACGAACTTGAGTTTCTTCTTCCACCAACGATGCGATTTGGATCAGGTAAAGAACTTTGAACAACTGTTCGCTGCTAAGGTTTTTCGGGTCCCAAGCCGCTAAACAATTTAAGGATCGAGGTCAATATGTCAATATCGTCGTAAAAATATATACCGATTTTTAAAATATCAATACAACTAATTATTCGGATAACGTTTTGAGAAACTCTCGAGTGCAGCGTGTCAGACTGTTTATGAAGATTGAAGATAAATCGTTCGTTGCAACAACAATGATTACACTTGATGGTAATTAAGACAACAGTAGGAAGTAATACGAAAAAATATATCTTAGTACGTATTATATAATATAATATAATATACGAATAGATAATTCATGACAGAACAACGCACATGGCGATAAAAAAGCTTTTCAGTCTGCCAGTGACAAATATAAAATAAGAAGCTATTATTATACTAAGGCAACTGTAATGTTGTAGCTATATGTCGTAGTGGTATCTACGGAGACAAAAATACAGTGCTGTAGTCTACAAACGAACGATTGTAATAATTATTGTTCGACGAATATCACACATAATAGTAGGTACCTATACATTATGATTGTTTGTTTTGCGATGATGAGAGGTCGACGTCGCTAATCTCCGAGCAGCCACACCGATCGAATCGCTATGATATTATAAGATTTTTTTTGTACCTACTCGAGACCAATAACTTATCATCCACCCACCCACCCACTACCGATTTCGAGGTATCAGCAGCTGCGGGTGCAGAGTTATCGCAATAACAATGAATTTTAGTACTGTCCCCGTTACAGAATAACATGAGAAATAATATTATGACGTTCGACTGAAAAACAGCGTGTAACTAATATTATTATTACAGTTGTATACATCGCCTCCATATAGTCTACTCGGAAGGTCTTGAAAAATTCATATAGGTTACCTTGACTATACATCGGTACGACGAAGGCGCGATAAATATCTAAACTTTCCGGCCCAAATCGTCTATTATGAATGTCAAACATCATCAATAACTCAAATTTCAATCGGCTCCGGGTCAGGGTAAATAAAAATTATACTATCACGTGCAAAACATCCAGGGTACAATAATTCTACCACTGCTCCAGAGAAAACTCATGTTATATGATATCGTTTTGAGGGGCCAATGGCGATTATAATGTATAGTAATAGTCTCAGGTTTTGTCGACAAAGCTCGTTTAATGTTAAAGACGATCCCCGCTCGAAAAGAGAACGTTTAGAAGGAATTATATAATACAATTTCAAAGAATTCCGAATAAATAATATTAATATAATTTAATTATATGTGTATTGAAGAGATTCGAGAGAAATCGTCTGAGAACTATTAAATATCTCTTTCACCCTGGATACAAGCTAAAATTATATTATATTATTTTTAATAAACAGCTATAGCTAATTACTGGAAAATATTATGTAAGGCGTGGGCTACAATATTATTATAAGACTATGACTTTCCACCTAAGCCATAATAATAATATAGCAGCGTCGATGTAGAGGTAACTTCTTTCCGAATACCGGCGTAACACGATGTTTGTTTGTAAAATTCGTAAATTTAATATAATATCTAAACGTTTTGTTTAATTAATATACTTACATCCCATGCTTAGGATTAAGACTCTCCTGTTCTTTTGATCTCTGTCGACGAGCACATTGACAACGCTGTTCTCGGTGAATAATGCCTTCTCTTCTCTAGGCAAAGGGTTGCCGACGATTTTCTCGTTTTTATCTTTGAACGTGGCCAAACGTTTCATCTATACGACACAACGCCAAAATCATATGAATTACAATGTGGTATTGTGTTTGTGTTCTATCCAAATTGTCGTTATAATAATATTATATCGTTATTTTACAAAATAATAGAATATTAATATTATATCGGCGACCAAAATTTTGTAAAATAGGTATACCTATAGGACCCTGCTGTTACACTAAATTTGAAGGTACCTAAAGCTTATGATACCTAGTAATATGCTAAACGTGTTGACTAAGTAAAAGATTACACGAAAATTGGTTCGCTATAAACGAGTGTGTAATCATCATAGTTCATGCAAAATTTATCGAACACGATCATTGCGATTTCGTTTAATAATTAACTACCATGTGTTTTATCTTTGTTCTTTAGGTTTATGCCGCACATTATAACATTATGTACTTAACAGGCGTCCAATTACACCGATAATCAATTTTTTTTCGACCGCCCTCCTGCAGGTGTAGTGTAATTAAGACGCGTAATTGGTGTTTGATAGCGAATTTAATAATTAATTATATCGTTTTCAGTCTTCTCTCAAATTATCATAATAATATATTATATATAGATCGGTGGGCAGACGAATTCGCCAACTCGTCGTTGATAAAAAAAATCGAATGGTACCTACGACTATGAAATTATTATTAATAAAAATATATAATAACGAATAGCCACGTGTTAGGTGATGTAGACAGTGCGTGAATCGATTTTTATCGACACGTTTTACAAATAAGATAGTATTATTCTCGCAAGTGAGCGAAATGTAAAATTTGCATTTAAAACGGGGAAAATATACGAAATGCCTTAGAAGTTCATAATATTGTATTATAGATCGGTGGCTGCAAAATTTAGAGCGGAACAGTGACGATTCGTGTGGTAAAATTTTCTCGGCTGTGCAAAACGTAGTCGGATGACAACTGAATTCGTTTGCGAGAGTACAAAATTGCGGTATAATAGCAGTCGTGGTATACCTACCTGTTATGGTTCATGTTCCGACGAAATGCGTGAATATAATACTATTATTATGATTATTACGAATTATTATTATTATTATTATTATTGTCGCACACATGATGATAATATTGTTATTATATCATAACACTCGAGACTGCTGCAGTATATCATAATATTATTATATCATATTATGCGCTTGCGAGCGTGTGTGACCAAAACTGATTATAATATTTGCTTATAATATAAACAATTGATAGTGCACAATACACTGCAGGAGTGTGATCAGGACTTATATGCACAACAAATGTCAATAAAAATGACGTAAGTTGGTGTTGACATTTAGTGCCCGTGAGAACTGCACTGCAGACTTAAACAGACTAATTAGATCAGATTGTCGATGATCGACATCGATAGGAAGGTAGTTATCGCATCGATATTATAGGTATAATAAAATAATAGTAAGTCAGTAGTGAGCTTGCTTACCAGATCGTATGCACTCTGAGCGTAGTAATGGGTCGGTCTCAAGAATATTGTCAAGTATTCGTCCGTGTCCTTGTACGACATCGTATTCTTCTCTGTAAGGAAGGAGAAAAAATAAATAAAATATATACAATATTATCACAATCACAATAATAATTGTTATCGTTTGCAAGTATAAGTCGACATTATAATAGTATGATATTATTATGGTGCAATTCGAATAAAATATCAATATTGATATTATATAAGACAATAATAGGTACACTGATTTATCGATCAAATATTATAATTGATTTATTTTCAATTTATCGTAAGAACCATAATGAGAGGTCAACGGAACGACTATAATGTATTATTATTTACACATAAATATAACATATTGTATTTTATAGTCATATTGTGTGACGTGTGTATTGGGGTGGGTATTATTATATTAGTAGGTTTCGTACGAAAAATAACGCTGCTCGGTGACTATAGATTTTGTTATGCTCTACCATCGTTGAGTGGCGTTTTGTAATGAGACTAATATTTCTCTTTTATATTAGAAATAATTTCGGTAAGTCCAATTTGGCCGGAGTGTTTACAATAATTATACATCAAGTCATTAATACATTATTAATTTTCGTATAAAGTGTAGACGATGCGCAAATATGGTTTTGCTATAATATAACACAAGTAGTATATATTATACTACCTGTGATATTATACTGTTATACTACATACGATTGACTCGTCAGTTTAAGAGCTGATAGCGTGCGATCTGTGCTGAGATTATTTCTACGATCGGAGCAATAGTCATTTGGGATGCGCACGATAATGGTATTAAATACTTATATTTGATTTTTAACATTATATTAATTTTATCGCACATGCTAAAAACGTGAACGAAAGCATAATTATTAATATTATTATTCTTATGGTAGTTTTCATACGTTTCAAGGATAATGAATAGTCCAAACTATAGAGTTGTAGGTCTCATAATATACGAACTGTTATTATTTGCTGATGGGTTTTATTATCACAAAATTTTGTTTTTTTCGTTTTTTTTTTTATTAAATTTTTTTTTTATTTTCAATAATGTCTGTGATGGTGCCCTTCAAAAATGATTGTGCAACAAAATATTTATCATCTATTCGGGCAGCGATTGAAACGGTTTTAGCACGCGGTACGTCAATAAATACAAATACAATAATGTACCATATCATTAGATTGTAATATTATGTTTAGTTAAATATATAATATACCCGTGGCCTAAGTATAAGAGATAATGAAGTAATTTAATTATTTCAGCAGAAGAGTCAAATGTACAGAGTGATTGTCGATATCTATCGTTGAGGTGTCGTCCTATACATATTCGAACCTATTTAAAGTGATATTCTGCGATTCCCGATGGGTATAACGATAACAACAGCCCATTATGTCCACCTCGTTTTTTAGATACTCGTCTATTGTATGCGACTCCCGATAATATCAATAATTATAATATGTTGACGAAATTCTAGGGCTCCAAATAGAAACAACTAACAAAGTAATAACAATTTTAGGATATTCAGAATTATATAAACTGATATAGTAATACATTTAAAGAAATAGAAATTGTAATTAAAAAGAAAACAAGTTTATACTCTAATAAAAGTTGTTGTTAAAGCAAATTGAAATAAAATAATAATAATATGTTCAAACTGTGTATTGTGTGAGGACCTATACCACCCCTTCGAGTGTCGACAAAAACACGAGCTGTATACTCGCAAGCCTGATCGTGTTTTGTTTCAGGAAGTTACAGTTTTACGGATGATGGTCAAAATTATGGGGGGGGGGTTCATAATATATTATAATGTTATTATTGTTTAAAAATTTAAAAAAATAGTGATTTTGACATCAAAGTAGGTAGGTATAAGACGACATAATAAAATATGTACACAGTCGATTTGGTTTGACCCGTCGCCTGAGGTTTTGGTACTTTACAAACGTTTATGATACGTATATGTATATGGCTTACAATTTGAAATGTTAATAGCCAGGTGTACAGGTGGTGGTCATTCATCGGTTTAATTAAAACGGAATTTAATGATGATGTAATACATACTACGTAATTATTATGATATGCACATAGATAATAATGTTAATAATGTATACGAAATAAAGTACCCGATTCGGACGTTTGGACTATTTTAAATAAATAGATATAAGAAACAAAAGAGGAGTTGTCAATAATATAATATAATGTGTTTTGTAAGGATTGACTTTTTTAAAAAACGAAAATCCACCATCCATACTTAAACGATCGTTTTTGATTGAACTTGGTAATATTATTTTCAAACAGTGGGAGGAATGCGATACCAGCTGCAAATTAGTAATTTATTATATTCGCCGAGTCTATTGCGGAACCGTTGATTTGTGCCCCATGATAATTTTGACGAAACAAAGACGTAGATAAAATGTGTCAGCCTTCATCACAATAATAATAATAACAATATTTTGAACTCGTATTTATTATAATAAACCGTGTGACTGGGTCGATTTCGTTTCCAATCAATGTGCAAACACACGATTGTCGGAATAAATCAACATTTTTCCATCATACGGCGTGTGTTGCGAGCAAACACTGCACAAAGTCGCGTCGTTAACGACGCCGGAAAGAAACATTATTTTTTTTCTCATGGTGGTCTCAAATAATTTACTGTGATTTAATATTATTAAAATCATATCGCCTCACTTTAACGTCTAGTAAACATTTAAGGGATTTTTAGGGGAACATTTAGGGCGAATACACGAATTCGTTACGATGTAAGACGACCATGTGGAAAACCATGTGGAAAAACGCGCCACATTTAAACGGGAAAATCCAAATTTCGTTTTTGCGGAATGATGATGAAAAATTATAAAAAAAATAAAACTGCCACTCTGATGTACTACTCTAGTTGTCGGTTTTGAGTTTCCCCTAGTATCACTGTAATGGACGTGTTCAATTTGTGTTAAATTTGTGGCCACCATTTTGGTAACTAAGGGTACTAAAAAGTTATATTAATATAATGACGAAATCATTTTTAACAAATGTTTATATTCCTCCCCCGTTATTTTAAAAAGAAATGAGAATTTTCAATGTTGACCTCACAATAGTATCAACTAGATCCAAATTTGTTATCTTCAGGCACAAAAATATAGCTAAAATAAAAACACAAGGCGGTGTAAAACCAATACACTATTCGATGGAAATCTAAAAAACTTTTGGGTGTTGGGTATCTTTATGATTATAGTATCTATGGATAGTCGAAAAAAACTCGAACCCATCATCGTTTCCTACCCCGAAACTCAATCTCTTCGGGGATGGTTGTGGTGGTCGTCTTTGACTTACCTTTGAGCAACTCTCTGAGTTCGGCCAACGACTTCTGCACCTGTTCCGGGGTCTCACGGAGTTCACGTTCGGCCAGTGCGCTAGTTTCTGCGCACAGCGGCGACGTGTCCAGACCGAAAGCGTTGATCATCTTCATGGACGGCTTCCTGCAATCGTCCAACGACAACCTCTTCGTCGACAAACTGGCTTTCAGCATTGTAGATTTTGCGTTACCGACCATTAAACTGTAGACGGGACTTCGGGGAAGCGAGTTGTGGTGTCGATGTGAACGTTATATCTCTGTCGAGATACTTAGGAAGTCGGCGACTGAGTAGTGCACCGCCGGAACTACTACTGAACTTCGAAAGCACGAAAGGATAGTATATATATCGTATTGGGACGAGTGTTGCGACACCGTTGGAGCGTATACTATTATTATACTCGTTAGAACAGTACACCTGAACTGATTACACTGATCCTACAGGTTGCTGACTGATTTCCGATACGATTGCGGCTAATTTAAATACTAGCCCGAAACCCCGCCACTATACACACGGCGCGCGCGTCTGCTGATACCACCACCATGGTCACGGTCCTTATCTCGGCAGCATCAAATCGCGCGGTTCACGCATCATAAATGTGCGCGCCTCGTCTTCAGCACAGTTCAAAACGCACATCGGTCTTTGTTCGATTTCGACAGTTTTCGATTTTTTTTTTTTGGATTTATTGTATTGGTCTTGTTTTGTTCTTCACTTTTTTCTTTTTCTTTTTTTTTTCTTATCCGGTGTTTCGTTATTGATTAGTTTATTTATTTATTTATATGTATTTAATAACGGTATTGCGCAGAATACCAACGTAGGTAGATGAGAATAAAAAATAATAACCATCAAATAACATAAGACAATAATCATTTTTATTATTATTATTATTATTATTATTATTACGTTATAATAACCATCACCAATTGGAGATAACGCGAGCATCTCAGCCAAACAGTGCACAATAATATTATAATACGATTTTCTTAGGACTTTGCTCTTTACACCCGCCGAGTTATTGTGTCATTTGTTGTTTGCGCGATTGATAATACTATAGGTACCTATGTCTATGCGCTGCAGCCGTTATGCGCGGCGGCTAGTTGTAAACAATAATAATAATATCAATTCGGTTGGGACGAAAATCGGATTTCGTCTGAATTGTGCGCCGAACGTGACCTGCAATTCGCGGTGCGTTTTCGAGGGGCACGCAACGTCGGACGCAAACGGTGGTCTCCGCGATCGAATAACATAATATTATTATCTTCAAAGTGTTCAAACTCAAATCAAAAGTAAATGTTCTCATGAGATCCTCTGTGGAACCCTTAATATTCGACTTTTCAACGATAATAATAATATTATAATAGTGGTGTATTCCGTAATCGAAACGGTCCAGCGATAAGTTTCCCGCAGAGCTCGTTTTTACGGTTTCTATAAACTAGGATTTTCGAATTTCGTTTTACGGATTTTATCATATAATTAAACTTTTGAAACAAAATTATATAATTGTAGATATCAACATATTTTTATCATGTTATCGTATTTTTAACAAATCTGTGTATCATTTTACTACGTTCGAAAACAAATACATATTAAGAAAGTATTGTAATGGCACGCCGCCAAAAGGTTTTTTTCTCACATTATTTGGTACGATTTGCATTCTGTAGTAGTACTTACTTCTATGATAACTGTTTGTTTACTTTTTATATTGATAAATTATCACTTTTAGTATTTAATTTGCACTTTAAAAATCAATCGAGTGTCTTTTATTACCAGTTGGTAAGTACATGTTCTTTAAAACGAAAATCCTCTACGGAAAACTAGGAACCCTTAAAATTCAACTTACCAACTATGGTGTATTCTGAAATCGAATTGATCCGGCGATAAGTTTCCCGTGGAGCTAGTTTTTACGGTTTCCATAAACTAGGATTTTCGCATTTCGTTTTACGGATTTCATCATATAATTAAACTTTTGAAACATTATTATATAGCTATGGGTATTATTATATCAAGTTGTTAATAGGTCTTTGTGCAATATTACAATATTCGAAAACAGTTATTAGGTAAGTGTTGACTATCACGCAGTGGAAAGGTTTTTTCTCATATTATTTAGTACAAATTGCATTAATACTTACTTCTATATGATAACTACGGTTTATTTATTTTTTAATTTTTATCACTTATCACTTTGCATATTTTATTCGGACTTTAAAAATAAATGGCGTGCTTATTAAAATAACCAGTTGGTAAGTACATGAAAGTGCTTGTTCTCAAAACTAAAATCCCCTGCAGAAAACTTGGAACCCAGTCGGAACTCTTAAAATTCAACTTCTCTATTAGTGTACCACCTTTACTGAAATCTGAACCGGTCCCGAGATAGGTTTTTTACGGTTTCAATAAACTCTGATTTTAATAATTTATTTTATGGATTTTATCATATTAAACCTTTGAAACAAAATTGTATAAAATATTAATATGATATCAAATTTTTAATAGGTCGTTTTAATATACTTGTAAAGCAAATATTAAAAAGTATTGATTCGCAGGCAGTGAAAAGGTTTTTTTTTCTTCCAATATTTGGTACAAATTGCATATTAGTGCTTCTACAATAGCTGTTTGTTTGCTTTTTAACTTATATCATTTATCACTTTGATTGTTTTACTTAAAATTTAAAATTCAATTGCATGCCTTTTAATTCAAGTTGGTAGGTATTTACTTAAAGGCAGAAAAGCATTTTTTTTTTGTTACATTTTTAAAAGGTTCAATTGTTTAAAACACACATTGAAACGAAAAAAAAAATTATGAAGGTTCTAAGTCTTGCTTAAAAGTTCCGTACGCGGTGCCGCTACAGATTTCAGAGTCAATTTTTTCAAACTCGATATTACTCTTTCGATGGATATTGTACCTAATACCTATACCTATCGACTGTGCAAAACCGATTTGATACTATTCTAATATTCTACTATTCTACTGTTCTACTATTCTTTTTATATTTATGATTATTTTTAAGTAAAGTACTCAACTAAAAAATATATTTTTCACCGTTCTACCCAGTTGTTATTTAGTTTTAATAAAATCTATATTATATACCCTTATTAACCTAATATTTAATTAGAAATCATAGTGACTGAAAAAAGTTGAATAATTGTAACTAAATATCAGTGACATATATAAATTTGACACTAGAAATAGGGGCATTTCCACCCCCAGTGCTTTTTTTAAACCATCACAAATGATATTAAAAATTTAATCGAAATTTAATCAAACAATTTCCCAACTCCTACAATCAAAAAAAAATACTCAAATATGCCACTGCAATATATATATGCAAAGGTGGGCATCAACTAGTAAAAAATGTAATATTTTAACTTACCTAATTAGTTAGTTAATTTTCTAATCAACTTATGAACTCAACTAGTTGAATTAACAATTCAAATAAATTAGATCTTCTCAGTAAAATTGATCGTTTTTATGGTTTTATATGTAAATATTAATATGTAAATAAAAACAAAAACCATCTAATAATATAATATTACAAACATTTATTTTTTTTCTTCTTAAAATAATATTTTATATTGATATATTTTAGTAGGTCAGATAGGTATAATGTAGTAAAATTGATTAGTATATGACCTTAAAATATTATATTTGTTAAATTATCAATTGAGATGTGTATAGTTAAACTATTTAATAACCATGTGAAGTGAAAAATGTATATACAGTATTTACTTATGATAAAAGTTTGTAGTAATATAATGTATTATAATTTAGGAAATTAGAAAGCATGCAGTCAATCTTCATGTGATCCACTAAATTATTAAAAAAAAGTAGACTGACTTTTTTTAAACTGAGTTAAATTAATATTTTTTTTCAATATTATAACTTTTAACTTATTGAGTTAAATTTATGATTTGTCAATTGTTAATTGCTAATTTATCAATCTTGTGTTCTCTTAACTTAACTTGAATTAATTACTTTCATTAATATGTTAATAGGTTATAACGTTGTATTTGAAATAAAAACGATTGAAATTTGTAAACGTAATTATAACAAAAAGCGATAATCAAAAATTATTAAATACCGCAAAACAAAACACAACGGTTAAAAAAATATATTATGTATCATTAAACAAAACATAACGCAGAACGTAATTTATGGAGCATGATTAAACGAAAATTTAAGCAAAACGAAATATTTTAAAATCTATTTATTTAAAAGGTTTATTCTGCCGTCATAAGCCACTAAGCAGTAACTCCATTTTTGTCAAAATCGAGTTTTTGGTGTCTATCGATAGATATTTTAATTCTCTATCGATTCCCGTAATAAAATTTAAGGTTTTTCTTATTAGAAATCCAAATAAATTGATAAGAACATAACAAGAAAGGCGGTATGTCCATGATTTCATTAAGATAAGAAGCAAATAAGCAGTATGTCCAAATACTAGAACAAAAAGCAGTAACTCCAGTGGTTACCCTGGAGTTACTGCTTTTTTCCCTAGTAATCGTTGTATTCAGAAAGCAGTATCTCCAACAAAATCCAAATTATTGGTGTAAACTTAACGTTGGTCCCAAAATAGAATTAAAATGTATACCATAATGTTACTGATAACTTGATAATATAATAATATAATATAATATAATCACAATTTAAAAAAAAAAAATTTAAATCGTATTTGCTGTGTAATAAGTCACTATAAACATCATATTATTTTGAAAGTACTACATATTTTGTGTACGCGTTACTTATTAAGTGTAAATCAGCTTAAAAATGAATAGCAGATCAAAAAAAATGGTTCAAATGGTTTCCAAAAAACCTATATTGAATACAAATTCTAGAACACATAAACATCACTTTACAAACACATGCCAATGATATCAGAAGCCATTAGGCAGTAACTCCAAATAAAAGTGTACTTACTGCTTTTCATCTTCTGACTAATATAAGCCAATAAGCAGTAAGTCCATTATAACCCATAAAAATGTATAAAAAAAACCTTTTTTTTGTGTTCAGTAGATTCCTCATGAAAAATACAATAATATGAAATCTCTTTAATGTTTAAAATATTATTATTTTTACTCTACGGACTAATTTAGTGTTGAAAACTGTTTTATTGTTTCCTGAACATAACGATTTTTGGAGTTACTGCTTAGTGGCTTATGACGGCAGTATTGGTTTCGTTGAAACATTTATTTCATGCAAACAATCT